AGAGCAGCTTTAATGTGTGCTTCACCAGCAATGCTAGAACTGTGGAAATTCTTTAAGAACCCCACATTTTAGCTGAGGCTCATGAAAAAAGCGAATCCAGCCACCACGGTGCAGGACACGGCTGCAGCTCCCAACGTCCCAAACAGCTTCCTTTGCCTCTCCCAGCATCACTTTTAGAGCCATAGAAAACCAAGTGGTGTCTTTAAATCAGAAGTTTTCACAGGTGAGAGGTGGGATGGGGGGCAAGAGAGGCTGGTCTTCCCATTCCAAAGGCACCAGGAATACGTGTGCTTTCCCAGCTTACATCTGACCTCAGCAGCTTTCTTGGCGTGTGACGGAGCGGGTGACACCGTCATACACAACGTGGCACTGTTGGGTGGGCTCGTGCAGAGGGGAGGTGCTCGAGTAGCAAAAAGCTGCTGAGACAGCGAGTGTTGAAAACCTGGTACAATCCAGGGCTGCCTTAGCACGGGAATAAAGCTAAACTCTCCCGCATGTGTTCATGCCACAATCTCTTGAGCTGCCTTATGCTCGAGTTGCTGTCCCAGAGGCTTCATTTAGAGAAGGGACTGAGAGAAAAAGCTGCAATTTTGCTTTTAGACCTTCTAGCAGCCTTCCAGCACTTCACAGGGGCTACAGGAAAGAACGAGAGGGACTCTTTATCAGGGGAGTTTAGAGACAGGACAAGGGGTAATGGTTTCAAACTGAAAGAGGGTAGATTTAGGTTAGACATTAGGAAGAAATTCTTTGCTGTGGGTGGTGAGACCCTGGCACAGTTTGCCCAGAGGAGCTGTGGGTGCCTCACCCCTAGAAGTGTCCAAGGCCAGCTAGGACGGGGCTTGGAGCAACCTGGTCTGCTGGGAAGTGTCCCTGCCCATGGCCAGGCATTGGAAGTAGATGATTTTTAAGGTCCTTTCCAACCCAAACCATTCTATGATTTTGCACCCGGTCAACGCGACAAGAGCTGACATCATGGGGGCACAGCACCACATCATGGTGGTCCTGAGTTCAGGCTCTTCTCCCTTTCATTCACTGTCCAAACCTGCCACAGGGCCGTAACAGTAATATTTATTTTTAATTCTCTGATATTCTTATAATAAAAATCATTACTGCATCAGCGATACTGCACTTGATTTAGAACATCGATCGTTAATTCTGGCAGTTCTCCTTCCAGCAGAGATTTTAAAATAGCAGGAGCAGGGTGACTCTTTAGCAGAATAGCTCCTGGGGGACAGGGATTGGTTTTATTGACTGCGTGTCTTTTGCCTGCGGGTAGCAGTGAAGCCGCGATGGCTCTTTTCCTGTAATTGTGAAGTTAACTAGCTTCTGCCGTGCTGTCAAGCAGATATGCCTACATCAAAAATTATTGCTTTTGCCTGCTGTGAGGTTTGCAATGTGTCTTATTAAATGTTTTCAGTTGGCGCTAACCACTAAGGTAACTGGTAATTTACCAGGTATTGGGGATCTTCTGTGTTTTCAGAGGAAAAGCCGCAGTTGTTGAATTTGGTGTGACTTTTATCCAGTGCAAAACTTTTGGAGTGCATGGTAAAAACAAAATAGATGTTGCATAAGTAGGAAGCAGAGCTTCTGGGGTGGGAATGTGTCATCAAGCAGCATTCTCTATATTATTGTTTTTAAACTGTTAGATTACTCATGATCACTTTAGTAGAAGCATCCTAGTGACTTATTTAGCCAGAGCAAAATAAGTCACTTATTTAGTCAACATATGTCAGCACAGATTGGGAGAGGGGGGCTGCCTTAGGTTTTTGCTTTGGGGAGAAAAGCAGGAAAAGAGATGTTTTATGGGTATAACGGTGGCAGGTGCTGCTGCCCAAGGTCAGGTCCAAACACCAAGGCCACCAACCATCCTGCCTGCTTGCCCCCAGCTGGTGCTGGTTCCATTTCTAGCACCCTGAGGTGTGAGGCAAGGGAGCACAGCACACGTATCCTGCCCTGCTGAGCTCAGCTGCTGGAGGCAGGATTCATCTTTCAGCTGGTTTCAGCCTGGATCCTTCACTTGACCTGCTCAGACACAGCCCCTGGTGAAAAGCAACACGCTTCAACTACTGCCGAGTGATGAATGTGTAAAATTACCCCCGGTTTAGATAAGATGGGAGCTTGATTTTTCTTTCAAGAGTGCATCAAGCTGACAGTGCAAGCTTTTTTCCTTTTTACCTAGGGGTAAACTGCCAGAATTTGTCCTCATTAAGAGGATAAGTGTACTGAACACAGCTCCATTCATTTCAAAAGCTGCCTGGTTGGCAAGGGCCAGACCAATGTCTTTTTAACATCCTAAAACCTAAATGCGAGGTGGAATTATGTTGCATACTTTTTTTTTTTTTCCTTTTCTTTTTTCTTCCTTTGGTAGAAGACTGCAACCCAGATGTACCGTCCCTTCTCACTGAACTTTTGATTCAGCAAGCTGATACCTGAGCAGTTTGCTTTCCTGTTTGTTAATTCCACATATTTTCTGGCCAGGGCCAGCTCTGTCAGTCTTCTCCTTTCGTCTTGCTCCTGGGAAGTCCGTTGCCTTCTCAGGAGACTGGTAATTCCAGACCTCACATTTTGTAATTTAACTCGGAGCAGATGCCTCCAAATCCCAGGCAGTTACCTAACAACTGACTTTTCCGTGGCCTCTTCGTATAAAATATGACAAGCCCCCTTGGCACACAGCACCAGCTACCACCTTGCAGGGCTGTTGTGATATTCTGCGGGGAGACACAGGGAGAAAAGTTCAAGGTAGCCCTATGAGCCACTCACAGCTTTAGTACTTTATTATTTTTTTTAGTGTTTTAATGATTCTGGATCTGTAGTTCACATCAAAGCAGGCGAGTTCTCACCACCTTGTGACTTTCTGGAGATGTGTGTCAGCAGTCAAGCATAATGTCTCTTGGGACTGACTTAACAGAGCTACAAAAGTGGGAATGTATTTTTATTTTTGTTTGTTTGGCTTGGTTTTTTGTGTGCTTTCATTTTTTCCCCAGTTCTTGTATGGCATTTAGTTCATCAGTGCAACAGAAACGCCCAAGCCTTTGCTCCTCGAGTATCTTAGGACGACTTTGTTTCTCTGCGAGCGAGTGCCTGATCTAAGTGTAATTGTATTGTGTGATGGATGCTGGCTGAGTACAACAGTGACAGATGCACACTGAAAACTGTGTGAAAATTTTTGCAGCCAAAGGAAAACTGGCAAATGTCTGGCGCTCGGCCAGCTCAGCTCGCGGGTGCACAGCATCCGACGGTTTAACTGCAATGTTTACAGCACCGAAAAGCAGTTCTAGGCATGGTTCTTGTCAGCAGTGGAGAGCAGATAACATCTCCTCTTCTGTTGACCTATGCAGTCCCTCAAGCCTTGGAAACCCGATTTAATTATTTTTTTTCTCCCCACTCAGCTTAAGTGGGATGGAAAAGCCCTCTGCTCTGCCTTTGAATGAGCACGGCTCCATACGGTATTGGGCATTTTAATCCTGAAACTTAATTTTTTGACATAAGTAGTGAGAAGTCACCTCTCACGTCTTCTCATCCCTTATTCAGAAATGCTTTTTCTTCTTCATGAACATCTCTTACAGGACAGCTATCAAGTATGACTTTGAAAATCACTTTGTAAAGGAAAACCACGCCACAAAAAAAGAATTGTAAGTTGTTCTGCTAACTGCAGAGGTGAGGGGCGAAGGAGCAGGAGGTGCTGACTGCTGTTTTGCACAGTGCCCTTCCCCTGTTACACACACTAAGCATGATTTTGCATGATGACACCTCTCCTAAGGTCACATCTGTCTCCTCCTCTTCCCTCAGCGAGGCAGGGAGGGAGCTCCCTGCTTTTGAGCAGTTCTACAGTTGTGTGTCTTTTTGTGCATGTTAAATACTAATTAAACAGGCCATGGGGATGGTCCTGGCTGTAAATCATCACTAATAAAACCTGCTGTTTGACATTTGTGTCAGGGGGAAATGACAGCCCAGCGCAGCGGGTGGAATAGCAACCACGGCTGCTCAAGGTGGAGCTTTGCAGTTTGCTGTCAGCAGCAGTCTTTAAATAGCCTGAAATGGCATTTTGTTAATGTTTCTACAAATTAATAACTTGCGGACACTGGGTTCCTGTGTTATGTTGTGTAGGCCACGACTTGTCCTCGTGCTGCCCTATCTGCCACCCCAGCCATGGATGAAAGCACCGAGAGAAAGGAATCAAGGAAAGGTGTTGTTGGGAGGTTGGATCTGGAGGCAACTTTGTCCAAGTGCTCACACTCCTGTCTGGGAAGGGGAGCCTGCAAGCCTGCCTGTGGTCACTGGGGCACTGCCGTAGGCACCTGTGGGAAGAGAACTTCAAGCTGGGAAAGGACAGTGGTAAGACTTGCAGGACAAAAAGAAGCACCAATACTTTAGTAACCATTTCTCATCACCTCTAGGGTTCCCAGTGTTCACGCTGTTTTTGCCCCTTGGCATCCCAAATTACACACACAACCAAAACAATGTCTCTCCTCTTTCCATTTGGACCCGGATGGTGAAGAGAATTGCAGACACAGATGCTGATGTTGGTGCATCCCCGTGCAGAGCCACGGCAGCCACTGCAAGTCTGTCCCGTGGTCCAAAAAGATCCAGAAAGCAGGACGTGGGAGCCATCCCCTCCGTGCTGGGTGGGCAAGAGGGCAGTGGTCCTCTTGGTGTGGGTGCAGAGAAGAGGAACCCTTCTAGGAGTGTGTTTTCACAGCAGTCCCTGCGAGGAAGAGCAGAGCCCTAGGGTGCATGAGGGCCATTCCTATGGGACAGTGTCGACATCATGTGTACGTCGGGCTGTATCTCCTTGGAGATGTTCAGGCAGCATATTTACCAGTGGAAACTTTAACATAACACTAACACCCGACGCAAAATCAAATCTCTTTGAAGGCACAACGGGCTGTTTTGTTAATTGAGCCATTCGCACAGCTTCAGCTGGAATGGAAATGATCAGCTGTGATTGTCCATATGAAATAGTCATTTTCTTTCGTTGCACCCTCTTTTCAGTGTTATCCTCAAAAGAGAATGACGTCTTTTGGTGCATTTTCAATGGGTCTCTCCTGTTCTTTCTTCTTAGAATACCTTGCGTGATCATAGAAATATATGATGATGATAGAAGCAATGTTCAGGAAAATGATGAGCAGCATGATCCAATACGAATATCCATACGAGTGTACAGATTTGTCATGTGTCTGCTGAATAGATAAACATGTAAGGGCCAACTCTACAGACAGACTGTTTTCTTCTATGTTCACAGGAAAAAGTATCATGGCTATAAGTGTGAAGATCCCTGGAAAATATAAATGAAAATGTTAGAGGTCGAGCTGTAGTACTACTGATGTAGCTACTTGTAAACAGTCTATTTAAATTGGTTAGAACACCTAGACTAGGACCAAGTTAAATATATTCCATTAGTAAGTTATGAGGGCATTTAGAGAATTTCTGTCCCACATAATAGTACCTGTCAGGTGTTTTGGCATTAGTAACTATATCCTGTGCTGAAGTTAATGGATTCTTACTAACTATTCTTACATAAGACCATATAAGGTAATTTTTTCATTGAATTTAGCACTCATAACTATAATATATTCATCCCTTGAGTGATTTATAGAATGCTTATTTGCTATGAGCCCAGATTCGTGAGGTGTGCCGTATCACAACTGGATAAAATCCTGAGCATCCTGGCCTGTGTTCAGGGCTGGCCCAGCTTTGCTCAAGAGCTTAGATTTGGAGACCTCATGTTCTTTTCAACCCAAATTTTTCCACAATTCTGTGATGAGCCAAAACAAGATGTCTCACTAGACATCTTACAGATGTTTCCACTGAAACAGGTTCAGTTTTTTGCGGGAGGTCACTGGACTTTTCAGACCATCTGGTAGGAGAATTAGGTACACTCACACATCAAATGATGCATGACTTTTCCTAAAAATATGCCCATGGCAAAACAAATTTCCAGGTCACAGCACTCTACAGGGCTGCAAAAGGTAACCACGATCCTCAGCCAGCATGGGAGTTTACTTTCTCACTAACATTTATTTTGGCAAGTTCTTTCATTTCAGGTCAAATCTTGCCAATTTAGGCTGCGCAATGATGTGGCGCTCGGGAAATGAACAACCTTCTTATGTGATGAGAGAATGATCAAAAATGTTTTAGAAGCTGAATAATCGTCTAACGTGGGCTTTTGCTCACTTACTGTGTTTCAAGACACCCACAGCTGTCTCAGCATCTATCTTTATACGCTGTGGTAGGCATGACTGGAGAAAAAGGAGTGTGTTTCACACTCCCACCTGTACTTGTGAGGGTGAAGACTCTGTTTATCTATACAATTACCTCCCCACCAAAGTCTGATTTTGGCAAAGGCAGCTCTAAGAGCGCAGTCCCAGGACAGGACGATGCTTGAGAAAGTTCTTGCTCCTCCAGCAAAGCATCTTTGGACCTGAAGAGCTTTTGAAGGACAAAGCGCTCGTGCTGAAGTACTCTCTAATCAGATATCTTTAAAGAATTTTTTTCTGAGTGCAAACCTATTATTAGAGGATCACATAATCCTCTCGAGACAAATTGAGTGGGAGAGATGAAGTCGTTACCACAGCGAGATGAAGATGTGCTGGGAAGAGCCAGGCTTAAGCCTTCAGGTGAGCGAGAGGTGGCACCTCCAGGGAGCTGTTTGACAGAGCTCATGGCTCTAATAGCTCAGTGTCTTTACATTTATTTATTTTTTTTTAAAGGGAATGATAAAACTTATTTTGTTCCATGAAAGTGCTTTTTCGAGAAGGAAATCAGTTTTGCCATTGCTCAGTCCTCCTAACTGCCACCCCACTGAGTTAATGTTGTTGTGGATGTATCTGATTCACCACTTTTTTCAGAAATGAAGCTAGACACCATCCTACAGATTAGACCTTAGAGGCCTAATTTGGTATGGAGGTAACCCAGCAACAAATAGGCTACAAATACCATAAAACGGTGACGTAAGGTCTTAGAGAAGTTACAAATTGCACTGTAGTCACGTCCAGCACATGCTTTTCTGTTAAGGCTTTGTTATGTATCTGTCAACTTGCTTTGCCCTTCTCAACATGCACCATGCATGAAATCATGTTACAGCTTCTGGGGCTTTTTTGTTTCCACTTTTGCTGGCAGCGAATCCAGGCTCCTACTGACAGACAGTGTCACTTCAAGTAAATAGTATTATTTTACTGGTACTTAAAAGATAGCTTTCAGGTATCCCAGCAGACACGACTGAAAACCAAAACCAACCGAACAGAATACTTTTCCCAGTGTTTTCTTTTACAGATACTTATTTCTTAATTTTGGAATTGATGGCAATAAAATATTCATCCGTATGGTGGACAGAAAGTAGTCAGCAAGGGATGTGTCACTCACCGCATAAGGAATTCCAGGTATAGACTCCAATGGGTCCCAGAAACGTCTGGTAGGGATTACTGACAGCATTAGTGAAGGTAAATCCAGAACTCAGCAGGGAACTCAGTAGACTGAGAACCAGAATCACAATAATCGCAGTGATTGTGCTTTTCGCCTCGGTGCTGCTCAGGTTATCTGCAACTGGAACACAGCTCAGCATTGATCATCAGCTCTCCCAGCACAGTCTGGTGGGCTCAGAGGACCTTATGACTTAATGACATGGCTGTAATTAAAAGCTAGTAACCAGAGATTTGGCCGATCTGTGGAGATCAGGGTGTAGAAGGAAGAATTAGTTTGGACACAGCACGTGAACCCAAATCCAAGACGGAGTGAGGGTACCTCAGGCTGAACTAAGCACGTCTGCTAATCCTGCAGGCACACAAACTTCCCAGGCATCAGTTGGGCAGTAAACTTCTCTTCCTTAATACTTCTGTAAATATTTCCGCTGGACATGGCCAGACAGAAATTTTGTGCCTAAATCAGATCAGAAGTCTGGGTGTTCCTCTGAGATGCCTGGTGACTTCTACATCTGCCTATTTAAACTTGGCTTCAGTTGTAGATTATTTTCTTTCAATACAAAAAGGATGTAGACCTGTGGGAGCAAGTCCAGAGGTGGCCACAGAGATATCAGGGGGCTGGATCACTTCCCTGTGAGGACAGGCTGAGAGAATTGGGGTTGTTCAGCCTGGAGAAGAGAAAACTCCAGGGACACCTTAGAGCAGCCTTCCGATGCCTGAAGGGGCTGCAGGAAAGCTGGGGAGGGGCTGTTTATCAGGGAGCTTAGTGGTAGGATCAGGGGTGATGGTTTCAAACTGAAAGAGGGTAGATTTAGGTTAGATATTAGGAAGAAATGCTTTGCTGTGAGGGTGGTGAGACCTTGGCCCAGGTTGCCCAGAGAAGTTATGACAGCCCCCTCCCTGGAGGTGGCCAAGGTTAGGTTGGACGGGGCTTGGAGCAACCTGGGTTGGTGGGAGGTGTCCCTGCCCATGGCTGGGGGTTGGAATTTGATGACCTTTAAGATTTCTTCCAATCCAAACCGTTCTATGAATACAGCAGCAGTCCCCTTCATATCTAAAAACTCTGGCAAGGGTAAGAGCTTCTAGAAGCCCACTAAAGCCGTTAGCCCTAAAGGCTCGGGTGCATTTGTAGGACAAACGTAACTGAACATGGTTGTTCATGGACAGAGGAGAGATGGTTGAGGCGGTGTTCATAGCCTGCCTCAATCTGTCTCTTCCCACGTCCTGCAGGAAAAAAGTTGGTGGAGGCAATTGCACCTTTTAAAAGAAAGGAGCAACTCCTGCTTTGCTTTCCCGGGGAGGATGGGGTGCTGTGGCTCCCAAAGAGCTGTGCTGGGTGCTCACAGCTGGTGGCCCTGGGCTCAGCAAGGGGACAAATGGGGGCTCCAGTGCTGCCAGCCCAGCCCTGCCCTGAGGCTCCTGCTCTCTCAAGGTCTCTACCCCGAGGCCAAGCGCCAAGGACTCCTGCATTTTAACATTCAGCATCCTGCACCTCTCACACAGATTGTGCCTGGTGTAGTTTCTGTAGCTCTGTGCGTGGCTGGCCGTATGTACGTGGCACATGTAGTCAACCCCTCCAGGAACGTATTAAATTTTATTGGTTTTGCCTAAATCTATCTCGTTACTTGATACGTCGCTGATAGTAGAAGACACGAATATGAACCCAATATACTCCAAGTGTAATTGCAGTATAGATGCATTGAAGTGTGTTATTTTCCTCCTTTCAATTTAAAGATTGAAAAGGCAACTATAATGTGCCTGTGGCTGCCTTATCCTATAACAAATACGATAACAATGTTTTCAAGCTCTATTCAAATGGGTATTGTGATAGACAGCCGTCTGCAGGAAAGCATCCTTTCTGTGCTGGTTTTAATACCAAGCCATTACTGCAAAGCATTTAGTTAGTGAATAAATTGGAGAAATCATAGCAGGGGGGGAAAAAAAAAGTAAAAACCCCATAAAAAGAAGGTAAGCACTCATAACAAAAAGAAGAGCAATTGGGAATAAACAGGAAGAAGAGTTTCTCTCTCATTTTATATGATATTCCTAGTGGAAGTTAATTTCTGTTTGAGGAAATGGCAGGTAAGGATGTGTTATGGCAATCAGTTGTAAATTTAAGCAATTTCCTGTAAGAGTAGTGAAGGCAGGCATTTGGGAGCTATCACTCAATTAAATGGAGGTGAGCCCGCTGCTGGCTGAACCACGCACTCGTGCTGTAGCAGCCTCACTGCCTGGGCTGGAGATGAATCACACAGGTTTGTGCGGCTTCCTTCTGCCAGCCTCGCTTAATTTTATTACTCGGAACATCTCTAGAACTGACTGGCTACACCTCCTGAACCCCCTAATTGATCTGGTCTATGTCTGACAGTGATCCACACTGTAAGCATGCCTGCAA